ACTTATTAAGATTAATATTTATTTGAACTTCCTTTTGATGAAACACATGATTCATAATCATTAACATATATTGTTAATAATAATATATGTGAAATGGATGAAATTGTTCCCATGAATAAACTTGGATATAAGTGCCCTTATATTTTATAAGAAGGCTATTCAAAATTTGTAGTCTCTACTGAAAATTAATTAAAAATAATGTAATCAGAATATACTAATTTTTCTATGGGAATTCTATAAATAATGGGAGATACTGACTTTTTAGATATTATAATTGCTTATGGTTTTGTATTTCCATAATTCAATAAAAACAGAGATTATTTATTTCAAATTTAAAAACTAAATAATGAACAATCCAATACCTAAGCAATATTAATGGCTGTTTTTGTTTTAATCGCATTGATAATTGTTTTTTCAGTAATCATATTTATTATTTGTAAATAATTTCTAGCTGTAATAAAAACTGTTAAATTAACTCTCTTGATTTTCTCAAAAGATTAAATTGCAAAAAATAAGCATTTAGTTTAGATTTTGAGTAAAGAAGTAACTTTTGATTGAATTATTTGGGTTGAAATAGATATATTTACTTCATTCAAATTAAAATTATAAATTCATACCAATTTAATTTTTTTATAAATACAAAAAATAAGTATCTATCTCATAATAAAGTTTAAAAAAATTTTAAACTATTCAAGAAAACTTTATCTATATATAAATTTTTACAAATACAAATATTTTTATATCTAATTAAATAATAGGATAAGTCATTTAAGTTCTAATATTACATTAAAAGATCTAATATATAAAAATATAAAATTATGATTTCTTTATTATTTAAATGATTTATTTTTGATTCCTAATTATTCTATAAAATATTATTTTTATTAATTCCATCTAATCATTATATGCAACATAGAACTGAAGACTATGATTTACTATACAAATTAGTTTTAATAGGTACTATTCAATTCTATTTAAAGGGGATTCTGGAGTTGGAAAAACTAATATTCTCAATTAATTTACAAGAGGCGAATTCCTATAAGATTCCAAAACTACAATAGGAGTAATTTATCTAGTCTATTATTTAATTTAGGTTGAGTTTGCTTCTAAGAATATAATGATTGATGATAAAACTATTAAAGCATAAATTTGGGATACTGCTGGTTAAGAGAGATACAGAGCTATAACATCTGCTTATTATAGAGGAGCAGTTGGAGCTATGATTATTTATGATATTACTAAATCATTAACTTTCGAAAATGTTGATAAATGGATGAAAGTAATTATTTTAGCAATGAATAAGGAATTGAAAGAAAATGCAGACCCTTCTTTATAAATTATGATTGTTGGAAATAAAATTGATTAAAAGCATATCCGATAAGTAGCTACTGATTGTGCTATTGCCTATGCTTAACGTAATGGAGTGGCATTCATAGAGACAAGTGCTAAAGATGGAACAAATGTAGAAGAGGCTTTTAAAAATATTTTACAATGTATTAATAAAAACTAATTCGAAAGAGATATATAAATCGGCTAAGGTTGTAAAACCAACTCCATCACCTACTAAGTTCATTGTTGCAGATACAGATGTAGTTAAACCAGAAAAATCTTCAGGTTGTTGTTGATTTTGAAAAATTATTTGTTATTTGTTATTTACAATTAAAATATCATTTAATGTTATATTAGGAAGTCACAAACTACATGATTTCTTATTAAACTTATTCATCAGAATCATTTAGTTTTTATAAATATTTTGCCACATAAGGTTTCAACTCTGATATAATTGTTATTGTTTTTTTAGTTTACTAATTTGCATTTACAAGAATTTAAGCAAACATTTCTAAATACAATTCATTATACTCTTTTTAAAGGGATTTTAATAAATTTTTTTATATAATTTATACCTTTTGATTTTTTGGATCATGCAATTAATAATATTGTAAAATTTATAATTATAATGGTATTTCCTAATCATCTTTCATTTTAATTGTATTAATTTATTAAAATATTTAAGGGTTCTGTAATTATAAGCAATTTATTGCAAATAATATTCCAAAAGCATTTTCAGCCTTAATATCCTTTAATTTAGTCTTTATACTTATTAAAAATTTCTCCAAAATCTCTTAGTCGATTTTATTCAATTAAGTTAAAATAGTCAAAATATTTGAAATATCAGATACTGTACATAATTTTGGATTAATTTTTTAAGTAAGCTTTTTCAAAAACTTGTCTGAATAATCAGTATCTACACTAGCCAATATTTAATAAATTTTTGAGTATTATTTGCTATCTATAAGATTTAAGTTTTAATATAGGTATCTAAATTGATATTGTGTTTTATTACTAGATTAAATAATTTCCAACTTGGTTTGTCAACTTCTTTATATGTATTAGAAACTCTAATAGACCTATTATATCTATGATAGTTATTTCATTTAAATTCCTCTACAAAATGTTATTAATAATTATATCCCAGCTAATTTAGATTATAACATCTTAATTTTCTTAAAGTGTTTCCATATAATTATATAATTCATAAAAATTAAGTTTAGATAGATTTTAATCTAAATCATTTTAACAAAGTTTATAAACTAATAACATAAGTTAAATTGTTTTTTCGTCATAACTTTAAAGCTAAAATTATAGAATTTTAATTACATATTTTTTCAATTTAGAGTTAATAATCAATATGATTAATTTACTAACAAGAGTGAAATGTTATATTTAAACAGAAATTGCTTCAAAATATTAAGAAAATTCCTTCATAATTATAGTCTCTTATTCTATTAATTTATTATCATCTTTAACTTTTTATAAACTTGATAAATCAATCAATCGTATAAATTATTTCCAGATTTACTCTTCTAATGTTTAAGGTTTATAAACCAATAGTTTTTATTTCTAATTTTCAGATATTTTTTCTAATTCATTATTTAGCTATTTGGAAAAGTAGTATTTCATATGAAAATACATAACAGCATTTTATACATAATTACCATGTTCTTAAATTAATTATACAATTTTTTGATATATTTTTTAATCATATTCTTTGTTGAATTAACTTACTTATAAATAATTATTTATTGACTATAAAAATAAATTAAACTCTTGTTCATCTAAATGCTTAAGATCCCTTGTTATTAAAGAAATAAATTATGGGAAAATTGATGTATTAAATTAAATGAAATTGAATTATGCATTAAGAATACTTTAATATCCTACTGATTATCTTATGCCTTAATATGTCACAGGAGTAGATTAACAAAGAGATAAATATTTAGCTAATTTTTACGAATCATTTAGGAGAATCGATTTCCCTTTACAAAATCCCATAAATATTCTCATATATAAATTCTTAAATTTAATAATTTATATAATGTTTGCAAGAATAATTAAATATAATCTAGAAATTTTATTAAATTGCACTACTATTAGAATATGTTAGTATTTATATTAAGAATTATTTAAAAATTAAATAGAATATATAAACCTATAATATAACTAACCTTGTATGTTATCCAATATTTATTTATGTTATGATAATCAAATCAATTTCTGCTGGCGATGAATTGAGCAGTGGTGGATAACTTCTCACTGATGTGCTCTTAGAGTCTGTCAACAATTTCTTATTAGGCAGTTCTAGATGATTAGAAAAGTTAGAATACCTTTCAGCAGTTTATGTTTCATAGATTTCTGATTAAACTGCATACCAAGCTTATTATCCAGCAAGTCTTTCTTCACTATTTTCTAATTCAAGAGTGTGGAATTCGATCCATGATTAAGCATCTTCAATTGTGTCCTTTTATTCTTAGATTTAGACTTCTAATTAAGCTTTTCTTTCAACCAATCTTGTATGTTCATTGGATAAATGAACTGAGAATTCAGCCCAATGAGCAGCTTATCTATCCTCAACGTCCTTAATTATTAATATTAAATAAATACTGTCTTGGCAGCCTTTTCTTATACTAATTATTATCTGATTTCGCTCAAAAGTTAAGCAATTTTGGTCAAAGCTTTTTAATTAACTCCGTGGGTGGCTAATTCAGTAAGAGCAGTGATAACTGGCTAAGAGAGTAAATATAGAAGGATACTTGTAATAAGGCAGTGTGGGATGTGTTATCTGAGAGCTTCTTGTGGAGGACTTCATATTTGGACTTGAGTTAGGCAAATGATGCTCCGAGACTGAGGTGTTAGATGAGTTTGGCAGCTTCATCGATAGCGTCAATAACATCATCAATAGCAGCAACCTTAGCAACGAAGGTTTCGTGTTATTGATTTCTGGTGGCTTCCTCTCTAGCATAGGTAGCTTCGTTGTTAGCAATATCTTAAATTGTGACTCTGATATCTTCTTCAGAGACGGCAAGAGCTTCAATAGTGTCATCTCTCAATTAAGTATTTGAGGCAATTTAGTTTTAATGATACAAGATTTCCTTTTCTAAATCTTCAACGATCTAGTATATTTTAATATTCTTACTCTATTATTGGTTGTGGTGTCAAGTTCAAATGCGTGGTCATGGTCATTTTAATCTTAAACAAGGCCAGCACCAACCCCATTCAATAACATATTAACTTCATTGGCAGGTGTTGAGGCTTAAAGGTGAGCTTTAATGGCACTCAAAACAACGTGTCCGAATGGGTCAGCGTTGATTTAAGCTAATGTGGTATGGGTATCTATGAACTTTGCAGCAGTCACAGCAAGAACCAAAGCTAAGAGAGCTATTTTTTACATTTTTAATATTAATTTAAAAACGGATCGACGTCTTCATTTATACTCATTTTCCAATATAATTTTATATTATTAATAATCCTACTACCTCAATTCTCTATGTCTTACTCTTCTCCAGACTCTTTCTCATCACCTTATTTCAAATATACAATTAAATCAATCGATAAGACAAAATTTTAAATTATAACATTAATTTGATTTTTTTTCAAAGAAATATCCATAATCTGACCACTAAGAATTAACTAAAAAGTGTATAATAAATTTTTATAAATATTCAAACCTATTGGATCCTTCTATTTAATTCATTTGTTCTTTATTCTCCATATGGCTAATAAATATTACCAGAATAGTAATCTTATCTTCCCTCTCTAAATATCTACTAGTCAATTCTCCCATATGAAGGAGGATATAGTTCATTCTAATAAGGCAATCTTTGATTAAAGTGGATTCTCTCATTTAAATCTCGTTATATACCGATAGGAGGAAACCCTCGATATTCTGGCACATAATAATCAGGAGTAGGGACAGCTAGAGGGTCAAAATACATTCTTTATTATAATGCAGGATCAAATCTCTATCTATCATCATCAAAAAATGGATATCCTTCATAGTCTAATGGTAAAGCATTTCTCTCATTTAAAATTGGAGGGGGTCTATGAAAATCTACTGGAGGTCCTTATCTATAATCTGTTGCTGGAAAAACTCTATATGATAAGTTTCTTTTTAAATCTCTCCCGCAATTTCTTCGACTTAAAATTGGTTCTGGAATTCCTCTCCTGTAATCACTTAATATTCCAGGAGGAGCCATCCTTCTATATCCTGAAAGAGGCAATCCTAGTTCTTGTGAAGGAATACATCTAAAATCTTAAGGGACAAAACTTAATCCAGGTTCTTAAAAATCTTAAGAAAATCCTCTAAAGCTATGCACATATCCTAAATTTGGTTCCCTTAAATTTGAAGGAGATATTCTACTCTCCAAAGGTTGCAAAATGCTTTATGTAAAATTTTGATGAACTCTTAAAGGCTTGTAAATATTATCACCAGTGTGTATAGTATTAGTATAAGGAGCACTCTAATATCTTTCTGGAGATATCATTCTTTAGGGATCGATATTAGACCCAACTTTTTGGTTTTAGTTTTCCTTTTATTTATCATCTTATTATTTCTCTTGTTATAGCTATTAAGGTTATTCAGAAGATCCTTGTGTATAGATTCTATCTTTATTTTAAGATCTCTCCTATTGAACAGGTAGATCTTAAGCCTTTCCGTAGTAATCTTAAATCTTACGATTATCTACTGGTGGTCGTTATAGAAATTCTAAGTTTTATCCAAATGGTTTTATATATCCTTTTGGAAACTTTTCTATCTCAATTGGTCTGGAAGGAGCATAGTACATTTATTAAAATAAAATATTATTATCAGTTAATTGTTAATGATATTTATAAACTATATTTATAAAAATATTTCTAACATAGCTTAATCCTCTAATTATTTCAATCAATCAGAAGATTAAATATATACTAGAGTAATTGTGTTAACAAAAAATAAACTATTTACAAGCAAAAATAAGATTTAATGCTAGAACGTAAAATAGTGATGATATTCATTAAATTTTTTAATTTCTTCCAATTTCTTTTTATTTTATATATATATATATGAGTCGAAGTTTATTTAAATGCTATAATTTTATCTTTTCCAAAATTCTTTATTGCTGAAAATTTCTAATTAAAAAATTATCATGTTTCTACTATTTATTAATCTTTATCGAACTCTATTAAGAGCTTTATTTTTATAAAGGTTTATAAATAATTATGAAATAATAACCTAATTATTAAAGCTTTACAAGTATTTTCGATATTGAGCAATCAGTAACATTTTGGGAACCATTATAATAACCTCTTCATGCAGAGAGATTACTTTATAAAGGTAAATTCTTTGAATTCACCGGAAATGTTTGGGTTTAAGAACATTATGATCTTTATCCTGAAGTGTTATGTAAAGGTTAATTTTACATGCAATTGCCAGGAGTGTAGATAAGAAGACTCAAACCTAACGAGACTTATGGTCCCCATAAATATGGATTAGGGTTCTTAAAAGGGCCATACAGGTTGTTGTTATATACCGAATCAGTTGAATAGCTAAATTAATGGTACTAAGTCCATAGAGTTTAGGCATGACTACTTGAAAAGACTTTGTCTATTGCCCAATTTTAACAAACGCCATAAATTAATTGGTAAGATTAAGAATTCACTTAACTTTTATGATTGCTATAAATGTATAAATGGGTAGCAATATTAGGTCAAAATATTAGAAAAATCTTAAATTACACAAACAAAATAAGTTTTAAGAGAAATTTAAATTTTGCGTCGTTTAAATCATCCTTAAATCTAAAAATTATTAGAAGTTTATGAAGACAGCAATACTGTCTATATTTTATTTGACAAATTCTTAGGTCATTCATTAAAAACCAAATTGCCAGATTATTGGAAGTAATAAACATTTTTTATCTATAGTTTAACAGAAAAATAATAGGCTGAGGTCTGTTTTAAGTTATTAAATGCATTAGCACATATACATTAAAAAAATATTATTCATAAGGATATAAGACCAGAGAACATTATATAACTCAATTCTCAATTATCTAATCTAATAATTGCTAATTTTGCAAGTGCAGATTCAAAAGAAAAATCTAAAAAAAGGAAAGTTTTTAATCCTGGTTTTATGGCTCCAGAACTATTCTAAAATAGAAACTTTGATGATAAAATAGATATTTTCTCTTTAGGTGTAATATTCTATGGCATCTTTTATTGCAAATATCCATTTGAAGGCAAAGATTTTAGAGAAACTGCAACTTTAAATGAAAAATGTGAAATTAATTTTGAATATTCTAAGAAGTTATCTTCCTCAGCTATTGAATTATTATAGGGAATGTTAAAGAAAGATCCAACTTAAAGGTTTAATGCCCAAACTGCCTTAAAACATCATTGGTTTATTAATGCAAGAAGCAAAGAATAAATGAAAGGAAACATGCTTGGAGCACCTTCACTTTCAACAATCCAAGAAAAATCAGAAATTGATATCTCTATGTAAGATCGTTAATTTAATAAATCGTAATCTAAATTAAGAGCTAAATCTGTAGATACTTTATTCATTACAGATGCTAATGAAATAGAATAAATTCCACTTCATTAAAAAGTATAAAAAATGACAGTTATTTAATTTAATCCATCCAAATCTAATCATTGATAAACATATTATTATTTAATTGTTAATAAGAAATTAATTTATTATTATTTAAATCACTTTTTTTTTGACTTAATAGAGCATACATTAATATAACAAAAAATAAAGTTTAAAGATCTAAATTGCTGAAAATAAGTGTCTAAAATATTAAAAAAAAACCTAATTTAAGGATAGATTTGAAGATAAAATTGTATATACGTTAATTAAATTAATTTAGCTTTATGTTTTTCTTTATTTATCTATCAAATTTGTTTTACTTAAATCTCAAAAGTACTCTATTGAATTCTATTATAATTATAAATTTACTTTAATTTTTTTGATCCTCAAATAAAGTCTAATTTCTTAATTAAGAGCTATTGAAAGAACCTTTAATTTTCATTAGAAATAATGATACATTTTAGATATTTATTTATTTTTGATAAATTCAATCTCCAAATTCCATTAATTTCGAATTTGAAAAATTATAGAATCAATATTATTATGGTTAGAAAATTTGATCTACAATTAATTCAAAATTGATTAGAATTGTTTGGTTAAACATTAATTAATAATATTAACGAATTAAAATTATTCAATACTCATGGAATTAATAAAAAAAATAAGAATTAGCTTTAGCTATTGCAATAGCCACTATTTGTGTTCCATCTGTATTTTCATTAATTTTCACTCTTTATTGTTATTTCAAGTTTCAGCACTTAAATAATGCTTAGTTTAAACTAGTAACGAGAATTTTATTTTCAGATCTAATATATGAATCTATAATGAGTGCGATTAGTTTGAGTTACATAATTACATAAAATGGGAGTAGTTAAGAAACATACTTTAGAGATACCTATCCAACCTTTTGTTATATAGAAGTTTATTTATCAAATTTTTCGATTTTAACTATTGCTGTTTGAACATCTATTATATGCAATACATTATACATGCAAGTGTATAAGAATATATCTAAGATGTATTATTATCAGTATATATTTGTTGCTTATGTGATTCCAAAATAATCACTTTTATGTAAATTTATGTAGTTTATTGTATATAGACCATTTTATGTTGATGGATATGGTGTCACATATCCAATGGAATCAACAAATTGCCTTTATAATATGAGATTGGATAGAAGATCTTATGATTTGTAGATAACTTTATGTTATTATTTGCCAATTTGGGTATCATTTTTATATAATTTAACAATAATAACATTAGTTGTAAGAAGAATATTAAAGCACATAACTGATTTTAAAAACAAAACATAAGTTTTTGGATTGTTGCTTTATCCAACAATATTATTCATTTGTTGGGTGATTGTAATCTTACTTTAGTTATCCTGTAGCCTAGCTTAGTTCAACAATTTAACCCATAATCAATTATTTAGTAATACTTATCCTAGTTTTTCTGTAACATACTTGGTTTATTGGATGCTCTGTGTTATTGCTTTACTGAGATATTTACAAAAATTAGAATTAATGGATGCAAATTAGAATATTAAGATGATTTATCTGAAAGTAATTTTGCGACCCAAACTAGCCAACAATTAACTTAAGTAGTTGATTCATAATAATTGTGAATACTATTTAATAAATAATATTAAATTATTAAGCGTCATTTCTTTTTTTAGTGCGTTTGCAATTTAATATTATAAAATGAAGAACAAAAATATAGTAATATAATATAATTGAAATGTCATCATCCTAAGACTTAGTAAAGTGTTCATTTAACCCAGACGATATGGGATAACTATTATATAAAGAGAATTATCATAAGTAAATATTGGTTATTAAGATAGATGGATAAAAGTATAAGAGTTGATTGCAAAGGATCCAATATCGTAAAATAATGTAGCAGATTATGGATAAAGTAGAGATAAATTATATGAAATTTATTGCAAGAAAGCCTATAAACTTCATAAATTACTAAATTATAGTGATGAGATGATTCCTGGTATGGTAAATAGTCAATTTCCAGAAACTGTGGTGACTGTATTACATTAAACCATGTTTATACCCACTATCAAATATTTAGGAACTGAAAAATAAATAGAAAAATGGATTCCTCCTTCATTAAATTATGAGATTGTAGGATGTTATGCTCAAACTGAATTAGGTCATGGATCAGATGTATAAAGTTTGGAAACTACTGCTGTTTATGATAAAAATACAGAAGAATTCATTCTCAACTCACCAACTATTTCATCTACCAAATGGTGGATTGGAGACTTGGGATTGACAGCAACTCATGCTGTAACACATGCTTAATTGTATATTAATGGAAAACATTATGGAGTCTAAACTTTTATTGTTTAAGTCAGAGACACACATACTCATCTACCACTTAAAGGAATTGAAGTTGGAGATGTAGGACCTAAATATGGTTATAATACAAAAGATAATGGTTATTTAAGAATGAATAATGTAAGAATTCCTAGAGAATAAATGCTAATGAGATATTCCAAAGTAAGTAAGGCTGGCGAATTTATTAAAGCATAAAATGAAAAGATTGGATATGCAACTATGATGTAAGTAAGAACTTCAATCATTTTTAATACCTATGTCTCATTAGCATAAGGATTAGCTATTGGAGTTAAATATTCTCATTTTAGAAGATAATTTAAAGATAAAAATGGTATTGAAAGACCAATTATTGATTATTAAACTTAATAAGATAAATTAATTCCATTAGTAGCAGATTGTTATGCTTAAGGTTTTGGATGTTTGAGAATTAAAGAGATTTTAACAGAAAATCTAAAAAGAATAAATGAAAAAAATGATTTTTCTTTAATGGGAGACTTACATGCATTATTATGTTGTTGTAAAGCTATTTATACTTGGAATACTCATTTTGGTTTAGATAAAATTAGATAATCATTAGGTGGACATGGATTTTTGTAATCTTCAGGTGTTGTTAGTATTCAAACAGAATTCTCACCAAGTTGTACTTATGAAGGTGAAAATACAGTATTATTACTATAAACTGGAAGATATTTATTAAAAGCTTGTAATAAAGCATAAAAAAATTAACCAATCAATGAAAATGTTGAATATCTCTATAATATTTAATAAACTTTATAATAAAAAGCTACTTTTACAAGATCTGAATAATTATTATGTCCTGAAATTATTAGAAAATTGATGAGATTACATGCAGCCTTTTATGTTAACAAAATGATGCTTAAAATGATGGAAAAAGGTATGTATATAAAGTTATCAAGAATAGCTGGTGAATATGGACCTAAAGAAGCATGGAATAAACATGTAGGCGTTTCAATAACAGAAGCTTCTGTTGCCCATACCTATTATTGGACATTTAAGACATTTTTAGATACATTAATAAAGTAAAAGTTTAAATTAATTTATAGAGTATAGGATGAGAATATTAGATCTGTTTTATCTAATTTATGTTGTTTATATGGTTTATAAAGAATTATTGATTGGCCAATTGGTTATTTTGAAGGTGGATTTTTGAATGGAGAATAATTAGAAATTATTTTAAATGCAAAAGAATACATATTCACTTTAATAAAACCAGATTTACTTGGATTAGTTGAGGTAATATTAATTATCTATAGATAGTCATTTAAATTTAACGACAATGCTTTAAGATCAGATTTAGTTGATGCTAAACCTTATGAAAAATTGTTATAAAGTGCCAAATTAAGTTCTGTAAACAATGAAGAGTACTAAACAAAATTAAGATCATTAACAAAATAACTTAGAGAGATTCCAAAGCTCTGATTTATAAATAATAAATTAATAAATAAAAATAATGTAGTAAGTGACAACAGAATATGTTAGAAATTTAAATGGAATTACACAAGAGTATTTGAGTATGTAAATGATAGTTTCTTGTGTCCAGTGAATGCAAACATTTACAATATCCAATTTCTTAAATTTAGAATTAGAGATATGGATTCAGGTTAAACTCTATTTGAGGTTGAACGTGATTAAGATGAAGAGCCTATAGGTAAAATCATAATTTAACATATTCAGAAAACCTCCCACCAGAATATTAAGATGAAGCTAGAAGGATTAAATACCACTTTGGACCATAGTTTTTTGAATTGAAAACAGTGGGAGCACAATTGACTTTCTCAGTTGGTAATAAACCAGTTAAAAATTTCACAATTATTGAAAGACATTATTTTAAAGATCATTTATTGAGAAGTTATGAATTTTCATTTCCTTTTTGCATTCCAAATTCAACAAATACATGGGAACATATTTACACCATTCCAGAAATAGATGAAGCAATGGTATATAAATAAATAATTCTATTAAATAGAGACAAGAAATGATTAACAATCCATTTCAAACTAAATCTGACAGTTTTTATTTTGTAGGTGATCAGTTGGTTATGCATAACAAGGCTGAGTATGATTACTCTCCTTTTGATTGAAATATTGGAATATTTGTTATAAATTAATATATATTTCATATTATAACTTTTTGTTAGATGGTCATTACTTGATAAGAACATCAAAATCCCTATTGAGATACTTATTATCTATATATTAATATATTTTGTAATTTAAATAAATAATCATTCAAATTTCATAATTTAATCCTTATATCAAGTATTCCATATATAATTTGATATCAGGATGATCTTTATTTTATTACATAGGATAAAAAGAAAAATATAACTTTAATGATATTATCTAATTTCTTTAATAAATTTTCAGATTGTTAATTTTCACTTTTACCAAAATATTTTCAATTAAAAATTAAGGAAATTATTCAAAACTTTCCGCACTTAATAAATTTATGCTTTGAATAACTTAATGAAAATTCAAAAATTGTCTAAAATCAAATTAATCCTTATACACAAAATTATTTTATAAGTTTTAAAAAAACAAAGCAACTTTGAAGTAAGATAAGCAGCAAACCGTCAATCCTAAAGGAGAATTACTTAAACTTAATTTCAAAGTAGGTTTATTATTTACTACGTCTTTTCAATGATTATTTTAAGAGAAAAATTAAAATTAAAATTGGAATATAATATATTTATAAGATCTTAAATCATAAGATGTATTGTAAATAATGAATTCTTCAAAGTTGAAATGATTAGGTTCTCTGCTTTTTTTAATTACTTATTAGTATGCTTTGAATACACCCTTTTTTGATTTCCAAAAATAAATGAAAATATTTGCAGGATTAATAAAATTACTTTTATAGCATAATAAATCGATAATATTAATGTATCTTTCAAGGCTATATATGATTATAATATTATGATGATAACTATTGAATTTTCCTAACATTAATAATAAAATAATAAGGAATTTTTATGATTAAAAAAATTAGAATAAACATAATCCAATAATTAAATAAAACAATAATTAAAATTTGAAGAATTTAAATCAAAATTTGTAACAAATTATGTTTAATTTGGACAATACATTAATCTTTTAATAAATGTATTAGAAAATGATTAGGAAATTGATATGCCATACAATTACAATTTTTATTAATTGAGTTTATTTTTTAGTATCAAATTAACAAATTCTTAAGTAATATATAAAAGGGAGATAACATAATTTTAGAATGAATTAAGATAAATTCTTATATGAATAATTCCATCAATGTCTGTTTAGGGATGTTTATGAAGCTAATGATCTAACTTAATCCTTGAAAAGTTGGATAACGACATCTATGATAGCATTTTCCTCTAGAAATATTAGAATGAATTAATACCTTGTCTTCTGGCTGTTTCAGAAGCATAGAATTCTCTCTTTTCCTCTAAATCAGCTGTGGCACCAGCGACGGCATTCAAGGAATCTTTCCATAATTTAAGAGCTTTAGCTTATTAGGCCAAAACAGCTGGAAGTTACTTGATTTATAGTATAAAATGATACTGTTTCCAATTTTTCAACAAGACCAGTTCTTCTTTCATGTTCAGAGTTCAACCAAGCAACTTCAGCATTTGTGTCTGAAACATATTTGGCAAGAGCGAAAGCTGCATGAATTTCTTATTCTTATAATGTGGCAAGAGTTGATTCTAATTCAGCTTGTAAATCTTATAAGATTGAAAGGACTTATTCTCCAGTTGTTCCTTCTCTTTTAACTTCAGCAAGGGATTGGAATTTTTAAAGGGCATCTTATTAGAAAAGATGACTGTATGCAGACAATTTGTCAGCTATTGTTTAGGCCTTCTCAACAAGTTCGACTCCGGCATTATTTGTAAGGAATCCAGCTACATCTTGTTGTAAGATTTAAACAACTGCTACGGCATCAGCATGATCAGCAAGTGATTTAACAAAGAGTCCATTGGCCCAACATCTTTAATCTTAGAGTTATGCATTTCTTCTTTCAATTTCAGCAAGTCTGGATTCAGCCCAAGCCAACCATTAATATCCTTCCTTAAGAATTTTATTAAATATTCATACACTGATTTAGGCTTCAACATCTCCTCTGACTACACCAAGGGATTCCCATTATTATTTATTGAGGGAAGCAACATTTGTCAAATCACCAATAACTTAAGAAAAGATTTCTAAGAAGAGATAATGTTATTTTATTACCTTCATCTGTGTTATTCTTTTTGTCTGCAGCAGCTTAGACTTAAACATTCTCTGTCTTGAGATCTCTTAAGAGATTGTAAACAGATTCGACTGCATCATTTCCTCTGGTACCAGCTTGAAGAAGCACAGCAAATTTATTTGTGTCTATAGCAAATACAGTTGCCAATAAGCAAATTGCGATGATTGCTCTCATAATTTAATTTAATTATCTAAAAAACGGGTTTCATAATTTGGTTTATAATCCTTCATTTTATACTTAAAATTCATATTGTAAAATATTACTCTTTAAAATAACATTAAATCCTTATATATTAATGATTCCAATGTATAACCTAGTGATAATTTATATTATCAATTAGATGATTCTATTTATTGTATTATGAAGCCTAACTAAAATGATTATTATCTATCTTTCTATATTTTAATAAAATTTTGATTTTACTTTAATGTTGAAGTTATAATCTTCATATTCTTTATCACAATTATTTTTAGTTGATGTCTAAATAGCTAGATTATATAGACAGTTTATTTTCTTTTAAGTTTTCTATATACTTTAATTATTTTCATCATTGGATTAGTTTTATAATTTTAGTCAGATAGGTAGGATAATTAGTATTAGGCCTTTTCATGTTATCATAAAATGAAATGATAAAATATAGTACTTTTTAATATAATGAATCTTATATGAATAACTGAAAGGATATTAAATATAGATAAAGTGAATTTTATTATGAATTAAGAGATAAATTATTGTCTAAAAATTCTAAATTCTTAAAATTAGAAATTGTATATTAAGTTAAAATCTATTTTTACAATTATATCAAAGTAACATCTTTTATATAGGTGGGATTAGGAAATAATATAAATTAGGTAGTAAAATAATTAATTTATGATATAGAATAAAACCAGAACCATGAACTGAAGATCAAATTAAATGATTAATAGCACTTTTGATTTTGATAAGACTATTAAATTTATAATTGAAAGTGAAAGACATGAATGTAATTAAATTTCAATTGAAATAATTTAAATAAAGTATTATATGAAATAAGAGGACCTAAACTATTTGACTTATGGATCTATTATTTCGATATCTCATGTTTAAGATGATCATTCTTTCATAACAGCAGATGGTTTTGTCAAGCGGGCTGTATGTTTAAAGAACTTTGTACAAATATACCATATATATACAAGCATCACATAGATGTCGTAGATTCAAAATTTTTAGGTAAAATGAAAAGCAGACCGTATTACCACACTCTATTCTAAATATTTCCAAAATTTACTAATAATACAAAGTAAGAAATTTTAAAGGAACTTATTGGAGAAGAATAAGAAGAAGAGGCTTAACCAGCAATTTAAAATATTTTAGAAAGCATTTAAAAACATCAGAAAGTTGATGAAAAGACTATGATGTCAAAAGAACAAGTTCAAAATTTTTCTCAGAAATTATTATAAGAGTTTAAATATAATCTCGACACATTTGAAAAAGTAATGCATATATTTATAATACTTTAGTCAAAAGCACACAAAGTGTCATATAAATCTCATATTTAGTTATTGCATTTGGCATCATCAAAGTTTTTAGCTTGTCATTAAAAAGAGGCTAGAGTGGAAAGTTCAAATTATAAAATTACTTTGGATGAATTACCTAGTGATTCATCATTATTTAAGATATTGCCAGCTTATAAATATTAGAAAGAAGGTGAATAAGTTATTTATGCAAGTGATATTGTTTATATAGTAAGAGCTACATCATTTATGAATAAATTGACATTTTTACATGCATCATAAGAGATGGGAAATTATGGTAAGAGTAGGAAATAGAAAAAGAGTGATGAAGATCTATTGTTATTAAAAAATGATAAAGATATTGTAAAAAGAGAAGTAAATGCAGCATTAGATGAAGAGAATCAAACTTAATGGAGAATTTCAGTTTATTCAGATTATGTACCTGAAACATCTGGATTTTTGAAATGTGGTGATGTAATTTGGTTACATCATTCTGAAACTAATACTACTATTGCAGCAACAAGGAAAGGTAAACCTGTAGATTAGAGGAATTTTTAATCATTTAATTTAGTTGAATGGTTAAAAGTTGAAAATGTGGAATTAAATGTATTGAGTGGATCAACAAAAGAAAGTTATGATGAATATACAGGAGATACACATTCTATGTGGATTATTGAATCAGAAATATATAAAGAAGGAGGCATTGTTTAATTTGATAAGAAATATAGATTTAAACATTTTACATCAGGATTATATTTATCAGGAACTAAAGATAAATTTACATTAGATAAATAAAGAGTTCCATCAACATTATTTTATTTTAGTTAATTAAAGAATTCTCAAGTTAGAGAAAAATCTGTCAAAAAAGGAAATTATGTTTATATTTGTCATGATAAATAAATACTTTAAGGTAATAATAATAATAATAGCAATGATGAAAATAGTTTTTGGGTTGATATTTAATATGGAAAAAATTAAAGATATATTCCAATTCTTCATTAAGAATAACATAAAACAGATTAAAGTGTTTTTAAATTATATGCTAGTAGTAGTAATGATGTTTGGGAGATTTCTTTTGTTTTAAGTTGTGCTAAGACTCTAACAAATTATCTTGATGATTTATAAAAATTAAAATGGGAAAATGATGCTTCAGATAAAGAAGTTCTTAAAGATCATTTATTAAAAATCTAAACAACTAAATAATGTATTGAAGATATAAATGATTTTTGTAATAATAGATTGTATAATTCAACTCCTGAATAGAAATATGGAACTATCAATCCATTTAGATAAAAGTTATTAAAGGAATAATATTATATTGATTTATTGGTTAAAATATTAGTTTAACAATTAAAACCAGAAGATCTTATTATATGGAGTAGAAGATTTATGATTATTTAAATGCAAGATATATAATAATAATAAGAAAAAATGAGTAACACAGAATAAACTAATAAAAAATAAGGATTAAAAGATCATGAAATATTGGCCTATATTGCATTTAAAATAACATTAAATCAAAGTATTTATATATTATTGACTTCAATTTGTAAATAAAATTCTGAAAATGAAATGTATACCTTTGATTTGATAGGCCATTTCTTAGAACATTGTAGATATATCCCTGAAGCAATAAAATGTATGATCTCTATTATAGGAAACAATTAAGAATTACTAAGTCTATTATCAGCAAATATGAAAATTGATTAGAATCCAAAAGAATAAGAAATTTTAGAACCTGAAGAAGAAAAATTGTAACTTCATCATAATAAAATTTAAAATAATTTTCTTATTTTCTTTTTAAATCTATTAGAAACAGATGAACAAGCTCATAAAGCAGATTTTTTAACATTCTTAAGAGAAATGTGTATTTATAATAATTAAGGCATCAATTCAAATTAAGAAGCAATTTATAAATTATTAAAAAAGCATAATCATAAAAAGATTTAATTAATTAAAGATCGTGAAGATCCAGATAAAATATCTTTAAAAGATGGGAAACTACTTATACCATTCAAATTATAGAATGACCCTAAAGAAATGTACTTTATTAATGAGTAATTGCAATTTTATGCTGATGTATCTTATGGGAGAAATCATTTATGGAAATAAGAATTGGAATAATATTTTAGTAAAGACTTCTTATTTCAAAATATTTGGTAAGAAGATGGTAATAAAACTTATGCAGTACTTTAAGCAGCTTTGTGTAAAATTGCTATGAGTCTTTATATTGATCATGATCCACTTAATAAAGTTTAATTACCTAAATATTGTAATCTTTATAAAAGTATTGATTAGGCAAACGAAGCTCATAATATGGGATTATATACTTCTTTAATTGAAGACTTATTCAAATATTTATAAGATAATAAATAATAAATAATATTGGCACTTGATACTAAAGATAATAATGATAACAATAAAGATTATGATGCATTAGATGCAAATGATGAAAAAAGTTTATTGATTAATGAATTACTTTACAATTCTTGTTAAATGTTATTATTAGTATTAGAATTAGATGTATTTTCACTTTTAGATAAAGAACCTAATAATTACTATAAACAAATAATTGATATTGTTATTCATTATTTTTTTTATGATTTTACTTAATTACCTTTGATGAAAAGTGTATATAAAGTATAAAAATCAGAAATTACTCAAAGAAAATAAAGAAAAGAAGTAAATCCTTTAGGAATAGGTTTAAATTTAGGAGCTAATCTTATGAGTATGGCAAATCCAATGAATTTAGGTTTGAATCTAAATCTTTTTGGATCAGATGAAGAATAAAAATCAGAATCTGATGATGATGAATAAATTGATGAAGGTATTGTTGATGATGTTTAAATGTACACTAATCCTTTAATGAGAGGTTTTATCAAATTAGAAAATGAACTCTAAAATGCATTAGTAACAAGAGAAGAAACTGGTTCAAGTTAATTGGAAATTAAAATCAAATTGACTCTTTGTGATGTAATGGATAGATTTTTAGATATGAGATAAAATTATTTAATGTTGAATTGTTTATCATTTTTCAAAAAATAAATTATTGAAAAAATGTAAGAAGGGATTCAATAAATTAAACTTTCTAAAGATGATTAAATATAAGAAAATTTAGATGACACAAAATTATTAATATTTGTATAAAGAAAGACAGAATCAAATTTATTGGGATTATTACCAAATATATCAAAAACTGGTTTAAAAGAGGTAGATGAAAAAGAAGAGAAATAAGATGCATTTGGTATTGGAGCATTAAATTTTTTAAATAAATTAGCAGAAACAAAACCAGAATCTGAAGAATTTAAAATTTTTACTTAGAATGAAATGTTAATATATGATTTAGATTAATACTTTTCATTAAATTTACCTTAAGAAGATATTACTAAGATATCTAATCCAATTGGAGTTGTTTTACCATTTTTATTTACAAATTTTTCTTAAATACATGAAGAAGAATTAGAAAAAAGATGTTTGGCTATAATTATGAGATTGTTTAATTAGAGAGAAGAACTTTGTAATAATTTATTAAAATTATAACTTATAAGTGATCCAATAAAAAGTAGACTATATGAATTCTTAAGTGAAAATGTATAAAGACTAAATCAATTAGTTGATAGATCTGAAGTATGGCTAGCAGAATATATAAAAAATTAAAAATAAGATGATTTAGAAGAAACTTTAGATATCATAGATAATTTTAGATAAGGTTTTTTTAAAGATACTTAAATATCCTCTAGAATTATTTCAGGAACTTAAGAGATTGACTCAGAAAAATAAAATTTAATGAATGCATTAAAGATATATGTGCCTATTTTAAATTTAATAAGAGATTAAATGTCAGCTTTAGATTTCCATCTTGAAAATATAAAAAATATTTAAAGAAAATAAAGGTTAGCTTAATTGTTTATTTATGCATTTTAATTTTTAACATATTTTTGCAGAAATAACCATGAAAATTAAATCCTATTATCATAATATATTTCTTATTTTGAAAATATGCATTTGGAAGTAGGATAGATACCATTAATTTGTGAAATTTATAAAGATAATTAAAAACTTTTGACTTCTATAAATAGAAATGATAGAGTTTTCCATAGATTTGTAGAATTAATTTATTAAAGTGGAAGAAAGGCATAATTCTTAGATTTTTTCATTACAATAATAAAATAAGGAAATAAATATATTTTTGATAATCAATTACTTGTATTGAATACTTTTTTGGAAAAAGAAGAATTATTGTTTACAGAGAAGAATGAATTTGTTTTTGAAGGTGATATTTAATTACATCACTCAGACTTTTTAACAGATTTAGCTTCTAGTCCTCCAATGAATTAACCATTTCTCTACCATGCAAAATTATTGGATTTATTATTATAATGTACATAAATTCAAGTTCTTGAAGGTGATTAGAAAGATAATTTTACAATAAATGTAGCTAAATTAAAAAAGAAATTTACAGCTTAATATATTATATAATTGTTATGTAAACCAGATTCTATAACAAATAGAAATCCTTCTATGTTGGAATAAGGTTTTGGATTAATAAAAAAATAATTATGGATATTTTTTATGAATGTCCATATTACAAGTGAAAAGAGTCATAATGTTGGTAAGGAAATTTAGAATGATTTAATATTAATGATAGAATTTGAAATGAAGAGATTAGAACATATTTAATTTGATCATTAATAATTGAAATACTTTGATTTTTTAATAGAAGCTATACTGCCATTATTTACAACTTATTTAATTAGAAAAAATATATAAATTCATTAAGATGATGATGAAGATGGACATGATCAAGAATAAAAAGATTTTGCAGCTTTATTATAATTTGCTAAAACTCTATCATCTAAAATATTAAATCTTGGAAAATATATAAATAGAAAAAAACATGTTTCTAGTTTAATTGCTTTTTATTCTTATTTTCCATTAACAACTATGGGCAGAGTTTGTTAATCTGTTTTAGGTTAATCTAAACTTATAGAAGATTTTGGAGAATTTAATAATTTAAGAGATGTATTATCTAATATTTAGGCTGGAGCTAATGATAATTATTAGGTTGATTTAAATGAATAAGTCAATCAAATATAGAGTGGAATATTATAAAATCATGGTGATCATCCTGCTCCTAAAACCATATTTTAGAGCAATAATGTTAAATCTAAGATAGGAATTATGTCTGCTCTTTCATCAAATAAAAAGTAAAAAGAAGAACCATTAATTGAATTTGAGAAAGCAGAGATTGAAAAAATATCTGCAGCTTGGGAAGAATTTGTTAATCAATTATGTTTAAGTGATAAAAGTAAAAATCATGTTTAAGATGAAATGTAAAAATTATCTGAAGCTATTGTTAAGTTTGAATAATATTTTGGAAATCCAAGTGACAAAACTGAAAAAAATGAAAAAATATTAAAAGTTGAATAAGTAATCCTTTTGAAAAAATTTATTAATTTTTTAAGTTATGCAATAAATAGTAATTAAAATAATAAAACTATTACAACTTTATTAGGAGTATTAAAAAGAGTGATTTAAGGAAAACCAAAGGAAGAATAAAAAGAAGAACTTGAAGTTGAAGGAGAAAATAATGAAATGGAAGAAATGCAAAATTTATTTAATAAATTAGGAGCAACTAGAATGGTATTAACAGTTTTAAGTGAATCAACTATTCTAGATGGAGAAATGTTAAGAAATTTCTTAATATTTATAAATACATTATTATCAGGTGGAAACAATAAAGTATAAAAAACCATTTTTGAATTTATGAAAACTTATCCAAAAAGTGAAGTAATCTTTAGTAGATTAAATAATGTAATTTAAGCATAAATCAAATAAATTACAATGAAAGCTTTAGATAAAAAAAATGAAGAATAATAATAAATTAATTTTCCTGCTTAATAATAAGAAGATAATTTATAAGAATTAAAATAACAATAAGATTTGGAATTATTATTAACTTAAGTCTTAAAATTCTTATAAAATTGTTGTGAGGGACATTATCTAGATTTACAAAACTATATTCGTTAACAAACAAATTCAAGAAATTCATTTAATATGATTAATTAAGTAGCTGAGTTATTACTATCATATTATTATAAAGATAGAGCCTAATATGAAAATATGGTTTTATGTTTAGATACTTTGAATGAATTAGTTTAAGGTCCCTGTCCTGAGAATTAGATTGCAGTTGCTGATTCCAAATTCTTTGAAATAGCTTCAGATTTATTTGGTTAAAGAAAGGAGAAAGATAGTTCTGGAAAAGCTTAAACAATGGCATCTAATATAAAAACTTCAAAAACTTAGAATAATAAAATGATGACTGTTAAAACAAGTAGATATCAAAAATAACAAAAGGGATCTGATTTAAAAGTTTGGTAAATTGAAAGAATGCAAACAAAATGTTTAATTTTGATTCTTTCTTTAATTGAAATGAGAGAAATATCAGATTAAAATCCAATTATCAAAAGAATTATGAGACATTTGACACCAACTTTATTATAAAAACATATGGTAAAATGTTTTGATAAATATTAAAAATAATGTAAAGAAGGCTATTAAATTGAAGTTTTAGATAGAATTAAGGAAGATCCAGAAACTGCAAAATAAGAAGATAAAGTACAAGAAGAGAAATACTATGAATTAATATTGTAAAAAGGCTTTTATATCTATTTTTTAATGTGTTATTATATGGAATCAGAGAAAAATGTAGAAAATTAATTTGTATAAATGTATAGAACAAATACTAGAAAGAAATTAAAGTAAGATAAAGGAACATTAGAAGATTTATTATTTGGTGATAATATTATTGGTTAATTAGTGAGTTTTGTGATGTCATTTGTAAATAGTTGGATTGATTTAATGAATTAAATTAAGAAAGAAGCACAAAAATAAATGGCTACTTAAATTTAAACAAGTGAATAATTAGAAAAATAAGAAAGAGAAAAAAAGGCTGAAAAAGCAAAATTGGTTAAAAAAGCATTTGATTTTTTCTATAAAAATAGTGCATCTATTGAAGTTGTTAGAAATAATGAGTTGGAAATTGTTTATTTTATACTTTTACCGTATACTCATAATTTACCAAAAGAATAAAAGGTTGAATTTCATGAAAATGTAGATAGATCATCTACTAAATCAAAAGTATAATTTTTAGTTTAAGAATCAGAAAGATTAATTGAAATATGTGAACATGAAGAATAATTAAGACGTATATTTTAAAGATAGAAATTTCTAGCTTTATTTGCCAATTATGTTAAATTATGGAAAGACTTAGCATTTTTATTTACATTATTATTAAATCTATTTATAATAGGATCATTTGCTGTTAATGAATCAGGTAATAGAATAACAGATTTCAGATTATTTAGAGATGAATAATATTCACCACAACAAACTAGAAATATATTTTTAATTTGCGGTACTATTATGACTTGTTGTTCAATATTTGTGGTATCATTCTTTTTGTTTAAGAATGCTCCATTAATTATTAAGAAGGCCTGGAAAACAAAATTACCTTTTGAAGATAAGTTTACTTATTGGCCTATATAATTAATCTACAAAATATTTAAATTATTAGCCGTGTTATTTTATATACTTAAAGAAATTGAAGTTGTTTATTATTTAGCTTATGGAGCTTTAGCTGTAATAGGAACAGTATTACATCCATTTTTCTTTAGTTTTCATTTAACAGAGATATTAATACGTTATCCAACTTTAAAAAATGTTATTAAATCAGTTTGGGAACCTAAATAATAATTAGCTCTCACATTGGTATTATTTATAATTCTTGTTTATGTTTATGGTCTTATTGCCTATACATTCTTTTTTGAAGATTATGCTGGAAAATGCTAATCTACATTGTTTTGTTTTCTATTTACATTTGATTGGACATTTAAAGCTAATGGTGGAGTTGGAGGATACTTATCAGATTTAGAAGATGAAAATGTAGTTGAAAAATATCGTGTAGGTAGATTTGTATTTGATAACACTTCAAATATTTTCTTAGTAATTATCATGGTTAATATTGTGGCAGGTATTATTATTGATACATTTGGGTCTTTGAGAGAAAAAGAAAGTGATAAAATTAGAGATATTGAAGATAAATGTTTTATTTGTGGAAATCTTAAAACTATATTTGATAGATTAACAGATACATCATCAATGGGTGGAGGTTTTGATCACCATATCAAAGTTAATCATTATATGTGGAATTATGTTTTCTTCATGGCATATCTTAAATATAAAGATCCAACAGATTATACTGGTATTGAATAATTTGTTTGGGAAAAAATATAAAAGAAAGATTTAACATGGTTTCCATTCAATAAAGCTAGAGAATTATAAAATCTTAAGTAAGATGAAGAAGAAGAATCTAAAAGAGTTGAACGTATATCTACAGATGTATTATTTTATTAATATATTTAGATTGGTAATATTATGGATTCTATGAGATAAGCAAGTTAAATGTTAAATTCTATTAAAAATAGAAAAAAATTAAGAAATGCTGCCAAATAACCTGCTGAATTGCTATGAAAATAATCAAATTAATTATGATTCAAAATACAAAACTATTTTACTCTCTAATTTCAATTCTGATTTTAAACTATTAATAAAATCCATTGATGAACAATCCAATATAAATCTTTCAATTGAATCCATTTAATTGAATATTTTTAATGCTTAATCAATTTCTTCTTTTTCTATATTTATACCTTTCAAATCCAATGAGACATGTTTCAATTACTTTAATTTTTATAAACCAATACAGAAGTTTCCAAAATGTAAATTTTATGTTCTAATCATTTTAAATCTATTCTTACTTATTTAATATCATTGTAATATATTTTACTTCAGCAAAATTACCAAGTAATTGTAATAATTTATCTAATACTTATTAATCTATTTATTAATTATATAGATTGACTTTAACTGATAAAATTGGAGATTTTTAAATCTATTATTAAATACTTTGTAATTTTTCCTCTGTAATTTCATTAATTGCTAAATATGTAATCTAAGTTTTCTCTAATTGATATAAAAAATTTGATTAAAATTTAATAATTGCTGTTTAATTGGCTAAAAAATACAATTCTCTAATATCTGCTCTTTAATGTGCTTATTATTTAAGACTCAACATAATTATTTCTGCTATTACATCTCTTACCTATATTAAATGTATTAAAAATACCCATATAACATCTATACTTAATTTGCAAATTTATCAACTTGATAACTTGAATGAATTCCATCTAATTCTTTATTTGTACATAGTAGAGCTGCCTTTAAAATACAAACTCCAAAATGCCAACTATCAATCAACCTTCCATTTAATTATTATTATTAATATTATTAATGTATTTTCTCAGGAGGATAATAAACAATATCAAACTCTTATTCACTACTTATAGCATGTCCTTCTAATAAATATTTTTCCTTATATTTAGCATTAGGTTCTTAAATGCTTGCTAATTTTACGATGTCATTACTGATAATTATGGAAGTGGCTAAAATTCTGTTTGGAAATATATTTCGTTTATGCAATTGAATAATTGCTTATAAAATTCTCTATATAATATTTAACAACTCATCTAAATTAAAAGGCTTATTTTTATTTTTTCGTTCTCTAATAACTTCATCTAAATTTTATCCCTCATATTCTTCTATTGAAAATATTTTAACTGCCTCTCCTCTAACATATTAAGGTTAGAATTTCATAAAAATGTTAGGTTTCTTACTAACCTTTGGCTATTTTACTGAGCCAAGCATATTATCAACAAAGTTAGATTTAGGTCTTATATAAAATATAGAATTCACTTAAGTGAATAAACTAAAGTCTAAAATATTTAAATGAGCTTTCATATATGATGAAAAGAGGGAATCACTTTAATGCTACATGACGTAAAACTTATGCAAAATTATTTTTTTTCCGTTTATACTATATAAAGTAGTTTTTCCAAATTAGGCCTTCTTTAGCACTTTTTCATATTTTAAATATTTCAGCATATCAGTTTTTGAAGTTACTTCTTTTAATAATTCTTATTGTCTTATTGTATCAACTCCTTCTCTAAGAAAATCAAGCAATAATTTATGATTAGGAGGAGGAGATTTAAGAAGTTATTGAAAATACTCTCCTATCTTTTATTCACGTTCTTTAATCACTTTATTTTCTCCAAACAATGTCTTTAAATATTCTTTTTTGGGAAATTGAGGAAGCTAGGTTTAATAAATAAATACTTAATAATTCATATTGTATTCTTGCATAGCATTATGAAGTTCTAGTAAGAGACTATATCTAACTCTGATTTCTCTTTGATCAAGTGTAAAAAGATCGATAATGCGAATTTTATATAAAACATTGTCTGTTATGTTCTCATAACCCATTATCTTAATTTCATACTGCATTCCTTATGTATTTTAACAATTTAATTATATTGTATTAAAATTTAATAAATCAACTTTTTATTTAATTCTATATAATACTTTCAATTAATTGTATATTTTTGTTCCTTAATTTATACACCTTAATAATATAATAAGAGAATCTAAAACAATATCTTAATAAACAAAGAAATTACACTATTAATATTAATGAAAAATAAATATTCAGAATATCTTTTGAATATATATATTCTGAATTATGTTTAAGTTTTCTTATTTGATGTTATATTATAATTGATTTTAATATGAATTATATTATTAATGAGTGATATTATTGTCAAAAGAAGAGAATAATTTAGAACAGAAATTCGTAAATAAAATCTAGAAAAAGAATTTAGCAAAAAGAGATTTGAAAAATGTAATCTTATTCAGAATCTAAATGAATGCAACAATTTAATCGATTTTGAGTTTAAATACAAAGATCAAATTGAGAATCAGATTTAGCTTATTCTTCAAAATCCTGACAATTAAAACTTATAAAAACTCATATAATTAGTATAGCAATTAAGTGCAAAATACAGTATTTACATAATAGATCATAATATTTACAAAACACTTAAACACAATGATTTAGATATTAATTTGTGTTTGAACTTAATGTGTAATTTATGTGTTGAACCAACAGTAGTTAAATATATCTTCTCTGATCAGATCTAAAAAGAGAGATTAACCTAATATTTAAACCTAATTAGTGCAAATTTATATGAAGAACATAGAAAGCTTTATTGGGAATTTATGCTTATTCTATCAAATTCAGCTCATACACCTTTTCCATTTCTGAAATAAGTGTTTTTGATATGTTGTGAAGAATTGATTTAATGTAGAAATAGCATTACTTAAATGTAAATTCGCATACTTCCACATTTAATACAAAAATATCCATAAGCTAATTAATTCTATTGGGATGCTTTAAATACTGCTAATACTGAGGATAGGAAACCTTGGAAATGTCTATTGCATTATCTTAAGTAACCTAATTCAGATGTATTTTGTTGTGATTAATTAATACTCGCAATATATTATTTAGTTTAATATGCAATTCAAAAAATTTACTATGACTAAATTGTTACTTCAGAACTAATGTTTGTTCTTCAAAGTAATTTGTATAGACATGAAAAAACAATGGTTAGATCTACAAAATTAATATTTATGATTTTTGAAGAAAATGACACTTACTTTAAATTTATAAGTGATGATTTAATCAAATTACTTAAAATTACTTTCATAGATGGATAGATTGAAATACTAAAACTCTTAGAAATAGTTCTTCACAAAAGATAACATTTTATACAGCTAATGGACTAATATAATATAATAGATATATTATTTGATATTCTAAAATAAAAGATATCAACAACCATGAATTATGCAGCTTTAAATTGCATTGCTTTATCCTTATTTTAATGTACTTAGATTGATAAATATTAAAAACATATCCAAACTCAGTATTCCAATTTTAAGGATATTTTAGAAAGATTTGTTTATGACAAAAATAAATCTATCTAATTAACTACTGAATATCTCTTAACAGCCTACTTTGAGAAATGAATATTTTTGTATATATTTAAAATTATATTATTTAAAAACTGATTTTTTGATAGCAAATTTTTGATATTTAATAATGATGATAATCATAAATTATATACAAAATTAATTCATTAATCTTACGGCTTAATATTCTAGAAAAGGGAATTTAGATTCTAATTTAATTATTAATTAATCTATTATGTATTGTAAGAGAGATTGAATTGAGGGTTTGGCTATAATTATTAAGGTTATGGATATATTTATTATGTGTATAAAGGCTATTGCATTTATTGTTATGGAAAAGCCTGTTAATTTTATATTAATTATTAATATTATTATTGTTATTACATTTATAATTACATTTGTTATTAAAGAAACATTTGTTAATAATATTGTTATTATTATTACATAGAATGCTGAATTTGCATCATTTACTATTATTGTTATTGTGGTTATTGATTATTAACCTAAGCTTTATTATTTTATTAAGGAAATGATAATTATTTATCATGCTTTTATTATTTATGATGTTTTTCTTTTTTATTATTATTTTTCTTCACTTCTCCTTCTTCTTTATTTCCTCTTTTTTTAGATACAGCTTCAATTTCATCATCTGAATATTCAACATCATGTTCATTAATCACTTCTTCATCAAATTAATTAGAAGCATCACAACCTTTTTTACTTTTGATAAAATTAATAATTACTTAAGCAATTATCTAATGGCTTCAGGATCAAGAATAGAAGTATTATCAATATTAATGAAGACATTATCTCCAATTTTAAGTTGATTAGTTTAAATTAGATTGTTTACATATCCATCCAACAAAATTGAATAATGAGGTCTTTCAACTTTACCAAAGACATCATCAACCTTTCCTAAAATCTCTTATTAATCATTAACTAATAATTAATCTAAATTAATGACAAATTCTAAAAGATTGGAATAAATGATTATATTTTCTCTGGTAATTGATTCAATTTTGCCAACTAATTGGATTCGATCTGAATGTTTATAATTGAAGTTGATTTCTCTCTGTTCCTTAGTTTCTGGAGGAGCAAATTAAACTTTTGGTAATACCTCATTTTTGCTTACAATTCTTGAACTCTTATCTTCATCTTCCATGTTATTTAACTTAATTTAGAAATGTAAGTTACTTAAGCTTTGATTTGTTGATAAAATTCATTACTACTAGAATCACTATTTTCATGATCGTCCATTAAATTATAATTATTATACATATCACATTTCAATTTCTAATTAATTTGGTGGATTGTTTTACTATTGCTCTCTATATTATTCCACAAAGTAATTGTATCTTTGTCTTCCGAGATCAAAAAAGTTAGTTACAGTCAACATCAATATCATAGCCAAATAATAATTAAAACACTCATACAATCGTTGAAAGAGATCAAAACTTTCAAAAAAAGGGTATTGTGAGAAAAGTAAGAAAAATAATATAAAACAAGTTGTTGATCCAATATTTATATAAACTATAATGGGATAATTCTAGAAAATATTAATATATAATATTTACAGTATTGTGTAGAAGTAGCACTTTAAAATTTACAATAAATACAACAGCACTCATTATAGTCATTCCAGCTTCTAAGTAGGTAGAATTCTATCCATGAACATGTGGGGAAATAGGTTCAAATGCATAAAATGAAATCACCATCAATAATATTGCTTATAACAAACCCCATAAGAATTATTGCCAAAAGGACACTAAATTAAAGATAGGCTTTGTCAAATACTCCCTGTAAATATCTGGTCTAGATTCTAAGAAATTTGCCTTATCCTAAACTAATTGCATATAATTTGAATTTGGATATTTCTCATCAAATAGAGCATATAAAATAATAGGTAAACTTGTAAAAAATACATTAAAAATTTAAGACAGCCATTAATCATATAGATTTTGCCCACTAAATCCATTTGAAAAACCAAAAAAGAAAAAAGCTCCAATATATAATTAATTCTTGTAAAAGTTAAATAGAATTAAATTGCTGTTCTTCCTATAAGATTCATGTCCTGAATAAAACAATAATCTTCTTAAATGTTTAAATTCTCCTATAGCATAATCACTAGCCTTTGCTGCCTATTACCCTTCTAAACCTCTAATTCCTATACCAACATGAGCCTAAGTAATCATAGCAACATCATTTGCACCATCACCAATAGCTAAAGTTATTTTGCCAGTCAATCGTCTAACTAAATTTACAATTTCCTATTTTTGCTTAGGAGAAACTCTACAAGCCATAACAGCATTTGCCTTTAAAGCTACTTTAAAGAACACTTCTTTAAAATTGTGTATAATGATAACAAGAGCTACACCTGATACTATTAATGATAAAGGTTCATCAGGATGATCATTAATGTAATTAGTAACTTTAGCTAATTATCTTTCAACTTATCCTTCTACATCCCCATCTATTATAAATCGTTTAACTTAATCTGTCAGTAATTTGCATGAAAAACCAATATTAATAGCTGTTTCTATTTTATCTCCAGTCAAAACCCATACATTAATTCCAGCAGATTTTAAATCAGCAATTACTTCTCCAACTTTATCTTATAATTTATCTTCAATTGCTGTTGCACACAATAATTATAAATTATTTTCAATCATTTCTTCTAGTTGATTCATCAATGATTCTCTTAATTAATCATCATCTAAAATAGATTATGCTCTGTTATATTCAGATAAAAACTTTTCATATTCTTTCTACTCCAATTCTTTATATCCTAAAACTAAAGTTCTTAATCCAATTGTAGCATATTCTTGTAACTATTTCTTAATTTCAAATAAAATATTTTTCTAAATAGAATCATTTTCGTCAAAATCTTATAACATTGATAATATAACATTATCAGCTCCTTTACAAAATAAGGTCAATCTTCCATTTTAATCTTTTAAAACTATTGACATTCTCTTTCGAGTACTATTGAATTCTATAATCTATTAAATTTGAAACTTTAAGGTTTCCTTACTATGTTTAATGTAAACCTTCATTACATTGTCTTCTTTACCAATATATTTAAATCCCATCTCTGCTGCAAAACTGACCAATGCTAATTCATCTGGAGAACTAGCATTATATTAAATTTCTGATTCAATATTTTCAACTAATTCTGTTTATATAGTATGACATAAAGATAAGCATAAGAGAGTTAAGAATACATGATCATTATTTGAGAAATTTTTAGCAGATTTTTTATTCATGAATTCAGATACTAATTCAGAATATAGGGTGTCATCTGTAAAATCTACATTTTATGATACAATTCTCTATTTTTCCTTAAAAGGTTTCTCATCTATTATTTCTTATTAAGGTTATTCCTCAATATCTCCATAAACAATATCATCAATANTTTTTCCTATATGATTCATGTCCTGAATAAAACAACAACCTTCTTAAATGTTTAAATTCTCCAATAGCATAATCACTAGCCTTTGCTGCCTACTACCCTTCTAAACCTCTAATTCCTATACCAACATGAGCCTAAGTAATCATAGCAACATCATTTGCACCATCACCTATCGCTAAAGTTATTTTGCCAGTCAATCTTCTAACTAAATTTACAATTTCTTATTTTTGCTTAGGTGAAACTCTACAAGCCATAACAGCATTTGCCTTCAAAGCCACTTTAAAGAAAACTTCTTTAAAATTGTGTATAATAATAACAAGAGCTACACCTGATACTATTAATGATAAAGGTTCATCAGGATGATCATTAATGTAATTAGTAACTTTAGCTAATTATCTTTCAACTTATCCTTCTACATCCCCATCTATTATAAATCGTTTAACTTAATCTGTCAGTAATTTGCATGAAAAACCAATGTTAATAGCTGTTTCTATTTTATCTCCAGTCAAAACCCATACATTAATTCCAGCAGATTTTAAATCAGCAATTACTTCTCCAACTTTATCTTATAATTTATCTTCAATTGCTGTTGCACACAATAATTATAAATTATTTTCAATCATTTCTTCTAGTTGATTCATTAATGATTCTCTTAATTAATCATCATCTAAAATAGCTTATGCTCTGTTATATTCAGATAAAAACTTTTCATATTCTTTCTACTCCAATTCTTTATATCCTAAAACTAAAGTTCTTAAACCAATTGTAGCATATTCTTGTAACTGTTTTTTAATTTCAAATAAGATATTTTTCTAAATAGAATCATTTTCGTCAAAATCTTATAACATAGATAAATAACATTATCAGCTCCTTTACAAAATAAGGTCAATCTTCCATTTTAATCTTTTAAAACTATAGACATTCTCTTTCTAGTACTATTGAATTCAATAATCTATTATATTTGAAACTTTAAGGTTTCTTTACTATGTTTAATGTAAACCTTCATTACATTGTCTTCTTTACCAATATATTTAAATCCCATCTCTGCTGCAAAACTTACCAATGCTAATTCATCTGGAGAACTTGCATTATATTAAATTTCTGATTCAATATTTTCAACTAATTCTGTTTATATAGTATGACATAAAGATAAGCATAGGAGAGTTAAGAATACATGATCATTATTTGAGAAATTCTTAGCAGATTTTTTATTCATGAATTCAGATACTAATTCAGAATATAGGGTGTCATCTGTAAAATCTACATTTTATGATACAATTCTCTATTTTTCCTTAAAAGGTTTCTCATCTATTATTTCTTATTAAGGTTATTCCTCTATATCTCCATAAACAATATCATCAATTATAATAGATTTAAATTTCATTATGTTTTATGTCAATGTTCCTGTTTTATCACTAAATATATATTCAATAACTCCTAATTCTTCACTTAAATTTGAGGAATGAACAGCTGCTGGTCGATCAAAGGTTAAATAATTCTTATCCCATTATATCATTTAAGCTTAAAAGAATTTAACTGTTTCTAATGTAACCAATAATGAAATTGGAACACTATTACCTAATAATAAAAACCACATTGCAAATCTTAATATAAAATTGTAAAAGGAATTATTCTCTGGAGCATTTTAATCAATATTCAAATAAGATTGTAATTCATTCACATTTCTTTAGTACCATACATTATAATATGTTGATGCAAATATACATTCAAACAACAAAAATAAGAATACCCATAAAATTTATTTGCTCATCAATTTCTCAACTGTACTATATTTCATCTTTCCTATAATAGAATTCATCATTATCTTAGTATCATGACCTGTATATACAGTAACTGCTAAAATCCAATCAGTATTTTAAAGAGAACATCCTCTTTCTAAAAAATTTTCATAATTTAATGGTTCCTTTGGTAATTCTTTATTTTCATTAACAATATTGAAACTTCCCTTAAATTTATACATAAGAGGATTTTATCTTTCAAAATCCATAGTCACAAATCTAAGATATTTTATTTCAAAATTACAAATTATAAGGTAACTCTTTCTCATTTAATTATCTGTATAATGTTTGCAATTATGGATGTGCATATTTAGGTTTGAGATTAGTTTCACCATCTAGATTCTTAGTTTCTACAAAACATTCTCCTCCTTTCGAAGTTGCTAATATAATAATATCAGCAGGAATTCTCTACTCTTAAGTTAAAATCATACCTATTTATTTGCAATCCTTATAATGTCTCCTACATAAACATTTTACCATTTGTCATATTCGAAAACTCCTGTTCGAAGTGAATATTTCTATACAGTTCGATTGTTTTCTTCATCATCTGCTCGGTGTCTAATGGTGATGATTGAGGTACCTTTTAAAGTCTTCAAAAAAATCCTTGATCATGCTGACCATAATAATGAATGAAAGGGGTAAATAAACAGTTGGTTGTCCATCAGTAGTTGTGACTGGAGGAAGGATTTAACTAAATTGAATTCAAATTGATTACAATATGCCTAAAAGCAAAAAATACAAATTAGATGCTTTCCTAAATTATTCTAATGAGTTTTTGGGTAAGAATGTGAGCATATTATACTTAGAAGTCTCTACTCTATTATTGGGAATATTTTTATCTGCGGTACCAATCAGAATCTAAGAATTTAAAAACCTGTTATACTTTTCTGTCTGGTTGTAATTCCCAAGGAGCTCTTCTTTTGCAACAACAAGTTCTTATTTAGTTTTCATTCTGATGCTTTCTGTACTCAACTATATTCATATATATAATATTAATTGAATATTCTTGTATACAATACACATCAATTTCATTATAATAAAAAGTTAATCAAGAAGGCACTAGTAACTCCAATTCCAAAGCCAAGATGACAATCACTAAAGTAGTGGCAACAGAAATAAACTCTACCTAACATTACATTAAGAGTCATAAGTATTGCAATTAAAATAACAAC